GTGGTCTCTGCATTTCAGGTTGTTGTGGCTGCCATAGTGAAAAGAAAGCTGGTGTCTCCCTCTGACCCAAGAATGCTTCATGGAGACCACCATGTCTCAAACGACGTCGTACCCTCCTCCACTTTACCACACACTCCTCGTTTCAGGCATACATCAAACTCATTATTTAACTTTTCCTATAACAGATATTTAACTTTTTGGTCGTTTAGGTTGCATCAGTTATAGATAGTTTTTTTTTTTTTATAAAAGAGTTATAGATAGTTATATCCATCTTATAATAAGACTGTACCATAACTTCAATAGAAAGAGTCGAAATCTTGGCTTTTGCTTTTAGGCAATCAGGGTTACACATCTATCCTTTTTTAAAACAGCAACAATTTCAACGGTTTAATTAAAATTCATTTATAAAAGTAACATTTTACACATGTATATTTTATGAGAAGAATATTCTTTTTGTAAAAGAATCACATTTAATCACAAATTAAAACGAAATTTGCATAAAATATAAGGATTGTATGTATTTGATTGTATGGGCAGGTTTTTGGACAAGGCATGCATAAAAATCCAAGGCACAAACACAAAGGAGAGTCCATGGAGGCTCTGCACGGTAACACAAGTAGAGCAAGTCAAAACCCTAATCTCACTTGTCCCAATCTTCGCAAGCACAATCATCTTCAACACCATCTTGGCTCAGCTCCAAACGTTCTCGGTTCAACAAGGAAGTTCCATGAACACTCGTCTCTCAAATTCCTTCCACATTCCTCCGGCTTCACTACAAGCCATCCCTTACATTATGCTCATCTTCCTCGTGCCTCTCTACGACTCTTTATTGGTTCCTTTTGCGCGTAAGCTCACAGGACATAACTCAGGCATTCCTCCATTGACTCGGATCGGAATCGGGCTTTTCCTCTCCACTTTCTCCATGGTTTCAGCTGCCTTGCTCGAGAAGAAACGTAGAGACTCTTCGGTTCTTGATGGTAAAATCTTGAGTATATTCTGGATCACGCCGCAGTTCTTGATCTTTGGGATCTCCGAGATGTTTACAGCTGTTGGATTAATCGAATTCTTTTACAAGCAATCTGCAAAAGGCATGGAATCATTCTTGATGGCCTTGACTTATTGTTCGTACTCCTTCGGGTTTTACTTTAGCTCCGTTCTCGTTTCGGTCGTAAACAAGATAACTTCAACGTCGGTCGGCTCCAAAGGGTGGCTCGGGGAAAACGATCTGAATAAGGACAGGCTCGATCTCTTTTATTGGCTTTTAGCGGTTCTTAGTCTATTGAACTTTCTTAGCTATCTCTTTTGGTCTCGTTGGAACATTAAGTCTTCGAGAAGCAACAACACTAATGTGGTGGGAGATGAGAACATTTAGCTTGATGCATAACATGTACAATACATATTATATCACCTGTTAACATCTCCAGCATATTATTAATATGAATAAGTTGTTATCTTTGCTTTCATAGTCTTTATCCTTGTACTCTTGTTATAAACTTAATTAGTTGAATATGACCTTGGTTGTTTTTTTACGA